CTGCCAGCAGTCCGCCCGAGGTGAAGAGACCTCGAACCGCCACCGCAGGCGAGCCCGAGGCCGGGCCGACCGCGGAGGCGGCTACCCCTGGAGCCGAAGCGCCCCCCCCCTCTCCCTCCGATCCCTTCTCCTCCTCCTGCCTCCGGTGGTGATGGTGGTTCCCAGGGTGCCCGGGGTAGAGAAGTGGCGGCAGGCCACGGGCGGTCTCGCTCAGTGGCCGAACGAGTCAGTCAGATTGAGAGAGGGCGCTCCCGGTCTCCAGGTCGGGGTGAGCTTGGAGAATTCTGGGTGACCCCCCGTGGGGATTGGGGGGTTCACTTGGACTCGGTGCAGCAGAGCTGGACGGGAGCGCGCGACGAAGACGGCGGCACTTTCGCCACTGGCAGGGGGAGCGAGGTTTCCTTGAAGAGCCTGACCCCTCCCCAGCGAGCCAAGTTCGACGCGTCAGACTCTAAGGAGTAGAAGGCCATGATGGCGACGGGGGCAGTCAGGGTGATTTCTCCAGCCAAGGCCCGGGTGATCAGAGAACAGCTCCCGGACCGCATCGCGTCGAGCCGCATGGTTCGACGGTGGAAGCCGGTGGAGGGCACATTTGCGGAGCCGGAAGCAAAATCCAGGTGGTGCGTCCATGGGCACAAAGACCCCGACTCCGGATCCCTCGCGGTATATGCACCAACCCCCCAAACAGCGTCGATAATGATGTTCCTTCAGGTTGCCGCTAACTTGAATCTCTTAGGCGACATCGCGGATGTCAAGAATGCGTTCTGCCAGAGCGACCCCATGAGGAGATCAGGAGGCCAGATATTCGTAGAACCACGTGAGGGCGTCGACCTGGAGCCAGGTTCTCTCATCGAGCTGTTAGTTAACGTGTACGGCCTGGACGATGCGCCAGTCGCCTGGCGCAAGACCGTAGTGGGCTTTCTTGAGAAGAACGGTTTCGTGCGCAGTCTCCTCGAACCGTGCTGGTGGATCAGATACGACGCCCGAGGCGCCATCCTCAACATGATGCTGTTGGAGGTGGACGATTTCATGATTGGAAGTGCTAACGAGGAGGCTCGGTCATGGTTGAGACGACTATTAGAGTCCCGATTTAAGTTTGGGAAGTATCGCGACTGTCATGCCGGGTCGGTCGATTTCGCGGGAAGAAGGGTTACGTTCTCGGACTCCAAGATAGTGGTGGACCAGGAAAAATATATACTGGAGGAGGTTCGTCCTCTATCTATGGCGAAGGGCCGAATGTCCGACAAAAGCGCCCCTCTGGGACCCGACGAGTTCAAGGCACTGCGTTCCCTAGTGTACAAGTTTAACTGGGTCGGACGAGAATCACGACCTGAAGCTGCGGGGATCGCGTCCATCTTAGCTAGTAGACTCAAGAACGCCACCATCTATGACGTGATGTGTGCGAACAAGCTCGTGAAACATCTTCGGTCCTCGGCCTCCCGAGGCCTCGCCATATGGAAATTGGATCCCGAGAAGTTCGCTTTCGTTTCGTTCTCCGACGCCGGCGGCGCGGGGGCAGACTCGCACCTGGATGACGAGCGTGGCCTACCAGCAGACCCTATCCAAGGGGCCTGGATGGTGCTTGCGACCGATCGGTCCGTCCTCCAGAACTGTTCCGTCCGAGCCTCGGTGTTGGGGTGGAGGAGCTGTAAATTGCGTCGGAAAGTACCCTCCACGCTAGCTGGAGAGACTCAGGCTCTCTCAGCAGCAGTCGCCGAGGTAGAGTTGTTGCAAGTATTGTACAGAGACGTCATGTTTCACGACGTTGATGTCCCTGAGTGCCGACGTGCTGCAGGACCCTTCACCACAGTGCTGCGCCGTGACTGCAGTCTGAGCTCACGGGAACAGCAGGTGCATGTGGTGGATGCGAAGTCTATTTATGACACGATGCAGAAAGAGGGCAACGCGAGTGCGAAGGATCGACGCACCGCGCTGGACCTCGCCATCATATGCGAAGCACTAGAAAGAGCGAGAGGAAGCGTGCGTTGGGTGCCACATGGGCGCATGCCAGTGGATCCGTTGACAAAAGACGATATCACCAAGTGCAACGCCGCTCTCTTTGATCTTATGTCTCACGGCAGGCTAATACTAGTTGACGAGGGGGCCGAGCTGGAGCGTCGGAAGGCCGCTCCCGAGCTGAAGGGACGTTCCCAGCAGGCGTCCAGGAGAGAGTTCGAGTCCGTGCAGATGTCCTGGGTCGAGTTCATGTCTCCTGGCCTGGTCGTTGGTGATGGTGGTGGTGGTGGTTCCTCCAGTATTCCCACTCCTTCCTCCTCCTCTCCGCCGGCCAGTTTCGGTCACTCTTTCCAGTGATTTTGCCCTCCGTCTTCTGTCTTAGTTTTAACCTTGCCAAGCGTCCCGGGAAGGATGCTGTCGTGCGGCCCCGGGGACAGGGCTACCGACATACTGTACGTTTCAGGGTACGGCTTCACCAAAAAGGGGAGCTGAACCTAGGAGAAATTCTGACCAGTGTTGCAGAGCTCCAGATTTTCCGATGATAGGTTCAGCGCATGTTGCCAACAGAGTTTGTGAACCGTGCCCTGTGGCTCAAGGCAAAAACGTTTGCTTGTCTCCGTCTGCCACATCGTGACGTCGCAGTTGACGTGCGCCCGTTGCCCGCTATACAGTCTGGAGAGCATGTGTACGTAGACAGACGGTACTCCGTGAGCCACCAAAGACTCCCAAATGCTCGAATGAGATATGGAATCGAAAGCCTTTTTAAAATCCAGCGTCGCAATCCACAGCGGCATGTTGTATTCATTACATTTTTCTGCTAATAGTGTGACTGCAAATAAATGGTCGTCACAGTTGAAGCCCGGTCTGAAACCAGCTTGGTCGACAGACTGCTCCGCAACAAGCTTGTCCTTGATCCTTCCGCACAATACTCTGCTGAAAAGCTTATACAATATTGGAATAATGCATATTGGTTTGTAATTCCCTGGTAGACGTTCGTCCCCTTTCTTGAAAAGGACTCTGATTGAGGATGCCTTCCAGTAGGCTGGCACGGTGGCCCCCGGGTCCAATACAGCCGTGAAGACGCCTGCTATCATCTGCATCAAAAGCTCGCTCCCTTTGCACAAGAGTTCAGCCACCAAGCCGTTTTCATCTGCAGCCTTGCCCCCGCGCATCTTCTTCAGTTGGCGGCGCACTTCCTCCGGCGTGACAGCAGCGGCACGATCGCAAGTAGCATCACATCGAAATACGTCGCTTTTGCCATTGTACAGAGATTCAAAAAATGCAGCAAACACTTCAGCTATATCTCGTGCTTGCGTCTGCTCTTTACCCCCGGCGTCTAGGACCGAAGACATGCAATATTTCTTTCCGTTGTTACGTATACCTTGGATCCGCTGCAAATCTTCGAACTCTTTCAAAACTTGCGTTATCCTGGAACTCTTCCGCGCCCTGGCCATTGCACGGATCTCCTTACGAATCAGCTTACTCGCATTCTTCACCTCGTTCTTGATTCCGCTCTGTCTTGCTGACCGCCGTTGCGCAATCAAAGTATGGAGCTGTTTCCTTGGAGTCTCGCTTTCTAGAGCCTGGAACTGTTCCCTCCCATCGCAAGCCTCCGCAACGTCAAGCAGTACATTTTCAATTTGACGGCATCTATCTTCGATCTCGGAACATGTATGGCTGGGATTGTCGATCGCTGCTAGGGGCGCCAACTGCGCATCAAGCTGTTTGTGGTACTCCTCCTCGTCTCTCGGCCTCCATCTCCGGAAGTTTCGCCTATGAGACCGTCGTTTCTTGCTCATGTCCCTTTCCGGCTGAAAATCCCACTTCAAAGTGACCTTGAGAGCACGATGGTCCTGCCCAAGAACCACATCATCGCTCGCCGCCGCGTCCTTGATGAGATGCGTGCGCCGTGCATCCACCAAGCAGTAGTCCAGCTGCCGCTTGATGCCATCATTCTGGTACGTCCATTGGTCTTCGAAGCTCTTGTTTACCATCGTATTTGCGATAGTAAGTTGATGTGTGGTTGCCCATCCAGCTAACCAGTGTCCCCGGTCGTTTCGGCATCCCACTCCGTACTCTCCAACAATGTGCTCGTCATCTCCAGTGCTGCGTGTGCCAACTGTAGCGTTCCAGTCCCCAAGTAATAAACACATTATATTTTTCCGCCGGGCCCCGCGTACCAATCGATCAAGATGCAAATAAATCGCCTCTACATCCTCGTCGTCGCATCCACAATGCGGCATGTACACACAAATAAATCTGACATTTCAGTTGGAAATGCGAACGTCTAGTGCGCAGACTCTGTCGGAGACTGGGTGGAAAGCACGGAATCCCCGCGTCCACCGTTGATGTAGTAATATCCCTGTCCCGCTTTGTCCCCGCAGTCCGCCGGAACCACAAAACATATGACCATCCTCATTCCTCCATCTTTCTTGTCTCTTATCGCGCCACTTTTCAGTAAGTAGAACCACGTCCCATTCGACACACTGCAGCTCCATAAACAACTCCTCCTCCCGAAGCGTGGTTTGTAACGAATGTACGTTTTTGGTGTAGATAAGCATAAACAAAGGATCCATACCTGCATCTGTGCGCGGTCCCGTCGTAACATCTGTCCGTCGTAACGCCTGTCCGTCGTAACGCCTGTCCGTCGTAACGCCTGTCCGTCGTAACGCCTGTCCGTCTGAATCTCCATCAACAAAAGTTCCCGTCGTAACGCCTGTCCGGGTTGTCGGCGATGCGTCCTTGGGATTGGCAGCTGAGTAGTTCCTGGGAGGCTTAAGGGATCCTTCAGGGAAGTCTCCATCTACACACGCATATGACCCCCTACCACCCCCGATAGACCGAGATTGCATTGAACTTGAAAGTAAAACATCAGAGCGACATTCTCCAAACATCTGTTTTGTAACCAATTTCCCAAGGTCTCCTGGCTTCTCCTGCTCTGAAGCCTGAGTGAAGGGTCCTGCTTTGCATGACCATGTAGGTGCTGAGCTCGTTATGGTACTGTTGGCAGTTTGGCTCTGCCAGCCTGTGCCGCCGTCGCGGCGTCACTCGCTCTCTTCGGCAGGTCCGGCGTTCACCTTCTCCCGCCACTTCCGCATGTACTCTTCCACCGCCGCTTCCACCGCCTTCCCGGTCTTAGTAGTACGCCAGTCTCCATGTTCATCGTACCACGCAATTTTCCTCTCCTTTCCCTCACCCTCTTTGACCACAACCATCCCCTTCGGCCATATGATTTTCACATCTTTGGTTTTGTGGTCGGGGTGTTTGGACAAATGGTACTTTGTATAGCCCATCCGTTTTTCCCGGTCCTTCTCCTCGGTGGTCAGGTTGTTCCGGAAGAACACCCCGCCGAACGCATCTTCGTCGTCGTTCAGCTTGTCCCGTACCTTCTTCCAGAAGCTTACCTTCGATTGGATGGAAGTGAACTCGATTACGCCGAACTTCGTGGAGCCCGTCGTGGTCAGCACAACTGCGCCCGACCTTTCGCCCACAATCTGGTTGAGCAAGTTTTTCAGATCCTCCACCACCTGCTCTGCCGAACCACTCCCATCGAAGCCAAAAGCAACAACCTGCTTATCCCGTATATGCTTCTCTGCATCTGCCTTTCCCCCTCCCTCCGTCCCATTACGCTGCCATGCACCGCTCCTGGGGAGGTCACTGTTGTTGTTGTTGTTGTTGTTGTTGTTGTTGATGTTGTCCTTAGCGTCTTGCACTTTGCTGTCGATCATCTGCTCGATTTGCTCTTTTGTCAAGTAAAGGTCCTCCAGGTCATTCCGAATTCCTTCCACCTGCATTTCCACATCCTCCATCTTCTCCTGAACCTCCTCTGCTGCCCTCCTTGCATCCTGAGCCTCGATCCTCGCCTGGTCAATCACGCCCTTTATGCTGGTCACCTCTTCCTTCAACGAGTCGAACTGTTTTGCCTGGATCTTGATTAATTCCTTGAACCATGGTGGGGCTTCGCTGAGATACCCATCTTCCATGTTTGTATCCTCAAGCTGTTTCATGTCTTTATCTCGGCGTCCTGTCTTTTTATCCGGTGTCGAGCCTGTCGCGGTTCCCCCGCGTTTCGCCATCTTCCCAACTATGCTGTGTACACTCCAGGCAGACAGAACAGAAGAGTTATAATCAGGTATGTGCGCACAACCGTCGCAACAGCCTCGGCCTTGAGCCAAACTTGAGCCAAACTTGGGCCAAACTTGAGCCAAAATGGCTTGAGCCAAATGGCTTGGGATTGGGGAGGGGGGGACAGGAAAGAAAGGATGAAAGAAAGGAAGAAAGAATGAATGAAAGGAAAGAAAGGAATACACATAAAGAAATATAAAAGAAGATCGGCGAGGGGGAGGAGGAGGAGAAGGAAAATCCAAAGTTCCAAATCTATTAGATTTTATTTACAAGCGCTTTATGAAAATTAAGATTTTTAAGTGCTCGTGTAGGGTAGCTCATCTGCCTCGTTTTCCATGGATAGTCAACCGCAGGGATAAACAAGTTCAGGGGCGCATGGGGAGAGAGAGAGAGAGAGAGAAAGAGAGAGAGAGAGAAGTTGAGAGAAAACGAGAAGGCGAGAGAAAGAGAAGGCGAGAGAGAGAGAGAAGGAAGTAGGAGGCAGGAAAGGAAGAGAAGGAAGAGGAAGAGGCCAAAGGAGAAGAGACATCCTCAAACAAATCCCTTGCTTTGCTTGAGACATCCTCTAGCAATGCCTTGTTTCGATTGAGACATCCTCAAACAAATCTCGCGTTTCGCTTGAGACATCCTCGAAAATCCTTCGCTTTGCTTGAGACATCCTCGAGTATATCCATGTTTCGCTTGAGACATCCTCGGCGAATCTCTCGTTTCGCTTGCGATATCCTCGAGCAATTGCTTGCGTCGCTCGAGAGTCCCTCTCCTCCCTCCCCCTTCCGTCCTCGATCGATCCTCGGATCGAGAGTCCAAGATTCTCGAGCCAGGGGTCCGAGATCTTGTGATCTCGGATCAACGATGGCTCGAGGCTCTCGAAGCTTCGATCCGAAGATCTATCGAGGATCGCGCCTCGAAAAGGAGGGAGACATTGAGACAGAGGCTCGATCCTGGATCGATCCTCGGATCGAGAGTCCAGGGTTCTCGGGCCAGGGATCCGAGATCTTGTGATATCGGATCAACGATGGCCCGAGGCTCTCGGAGCCTCGATCCGAAGATCGATCGAGGATCGAGCCTCGATGGAGTTACGCTCGATTTTACGCTCGAGAGGGGGCTGACGAAGCCTCTCGGAGAACGCCTCTCGAAAAACTCGAGGGAGCTGGGCGCTCATCGCCGCTCGCTCCTCGTTCAGGCCTCGATCAGGCCTCGTGCTGAGCCTGGCTCGGCTCAAGCCTGCGCCTCGGACGTCTCGAGCTCCTGCTTGCGCTTCTTCTCGGCATTCATCTCCTCGTAGTCCTTGTTGATCTTGGAGTAGCTCGGAAACTCCCTCTTGATGTAGAGGTCGAAGAACATTTTCTCGTACTCGAGCTTCAACTTATACTTGGGGTACTCGTCCATCTTGGCGCGCTGGATGCTGTACCCGTACGCATCGAGCTCGTAGCGCTTCTTGGCAAATTCGGCGATTTGCCAGCACCAGGCGACGATTGCCTCGGTCACGACGAGGCGCTCGTTCTCAGACTTCTCGGGGCCGCACCGCTGGAACTCCTCGAAGTATGGCTTGGCCTTCTCGGGCGCTGTGGCGACCGTGTCGAACGCGTCCTCGCCCTGGTCTGGCTCGTCGCTGTCGCTCGGCAAGATGGGCTTGAACTGCTTGTTCACTGGGAGCATGATCTCGTACAGCGCTTGCAGATCTGGGGGGATCTCGCCGAGCACTCGCCTGACAACCTTGGTCGCGGCCCCCATCGGGCATCATCTCGGCCCTCTCGCCGAGCCGCGCGTCGTGCGTCTTGGCCTCGTCGAGCAACTCCGCTCGGAAGCTCGGCAGAATCTTGAACAACGCCTCGACGCTCGTGTCTGCGTCGTCGAACGCGTTGAACGTCTCGCCGCTCTGCTCGATGCGCGTCTTGAAAAGGATCGCGCAGAACAACTCGCCTCGGCGCCGATCCTTGCCTCGGAAGATGCCCTCGTACTTGATCCCCTCGAGGGTCCCCTTCCTGAGGGCGCTCGCCAACACGGCGCCTCGGATGTTCTTGTGGTACAGGGCGCTCGAGCCTCGGCACCACATGCCGAGCATCCTCGAAGCGTCCGTGGCCTCGCCGCTCGCTTGGCACTGCCTCACCTCGGCGCACCCGGCTTTCTCGGCGACGTAACCGAGGGTGTTGTTGTGCGCCTCGGCAAGCTTGTTGTGCTTCTCGAGCTGCTTGGTCATCTCAAGCAGCAGGGTGTTGTTTTGCTGGAGCAGCTCGATGACTTGGCTGTCCTCGGCGATCTGGGGGCTCGAGGGCTTGGACAGCGCCATGGGAAGCTGAAGCTCGAAAGCTCGGAAGGCTCGAAAAGCTCGAAACGCTCGAGCCAGAACGGTCGCGGGCGGGAGCAGGAGAACTGCTCGCTTCGCTGGAGACATCCTCGAAAACGTGCCCGTTCCGCTCGAGACATCCTCGAACAAATCTCTCGTTTCGCATCAGACATCCTCGACCAATCTCTCGCTTTGCTTGAGACATCCTCGTATGCTTGTTTCGCTTGAGACATCCTCGACGAATCGCTCGTTTCGCTTGAGACATCCTCGTCGAATCTCTCGGCTCGCTTGAGACATCCTCGAGCAATTGCTGTTTTCGCTTGAGACATCCTTAAGAAACGTATCGTTTCGCTTGAGACATCCTTCAGTTTTTGCCTGTTTCGCTTGAGACATCCTCGAGTTTTTGCTTGTTTCGCTTGAGACATCCTCGACAAGCTTCTCGAATCGCTTGAGACATCCTCGAGTATATGCTTGTTTCGCTTGAGACGTCCTCGACAAGCTTCTCGAATCGCTTGAGACATCCTCACAGAATTGCTGGTTTCGCTTGAGACATCCTTGAAACATTGCTCGTTTCGTTTGAGTCTGCCTCCCAAAATTCTTGGTTTCGCTTGAGACATCCTGAAAAAGTGTGATCGCTTCGCTTGATGTTGCTACCTCAACATAAGAAGGAAGTAACCTCGATGACGAATTTTTCGAGGTGATAATGAAGTTCGGCCTCCGCGGCGCCCCGCGCCCCCGACCAAACTCTTCGCGGCCGTGGATAATCAACTCAAACTACTTCAGGGGGGGGGGGTACCCTTTATTATCCGGGGCATGGGATTACTCGCTCACTGAGATGCACCGCTTCCACGGAGCCGTCGTTTTCCCAACTACTTTTCACGCATTGACGGAATCCATGACAGGCGTTGTTGTACCGCCGAGTATTTATTTAGACGGACGTCGCGTCTATGACCAAATTGCAATGGTCACCACGCCTGCCGACCTTGAACAGGCAATCCCTGGCGAGCGCGTTCGTTCACAGATTCCCCGTTGGGCAAGAGCTGAGGGATACTCCCTCGTGGACGAGCGGGAACTCTCGCCTCACTATGCACCGCCTAGCCAGGACCGTGTCACGTACGACCGCCCTTCTGGCACGTTTCCCCAGATCGCCAACTGTGCCCTCTGGCTCGTCCCTAATGGAGGTGGTCGGCAAAGCTTCAATGTGGTGATGACATTTATCCCTAAGATCTTGCGGCGACATGATGTCTTCATCCTCCCGAATGGGTTGTTGTCGACAAGAGACCCGATCAAGTTCAATGAGACCGCAGGTATCTTCCGTATGGAAAGCGAGCCCTTAGATGCCACATTCTGTCAATGGACCCAGATCTACGATCTGCAATGGGCGTTGGCTTTCTCTTACTCTCATCCACGTAGTCTCTTTGCATACTGCAGAGGTGACGAGCGTCTCGTGTGGGGGGAATTTCCTCAGCCGCCCCCTCGACATGCAACAAACGGGCTGATTCCTTACTCCCCAGGGATGGAACGACAACTGGAGCCCCTGTGGACAGGCGACCCTCGGCTTATCTGTCACTGCCTGCGGCAAAACAGAGTCGGCTTCTCTGAGTGCCTCCATTGCCGCCAGCGGTTTGGCCGACATCGGAACACCATCTGCGACCCTAAGCAGCGGCGCTTTGTGGCAGATCAGAGAAAAGCCCTCGCGGCTCGTGGCCTACGGCCCGCGCCTCACAATCCCCTTGAGCCTAATGACTCTTCGAGGCGTGAAGTTCAGCGACAGCATTATTCCCTCGGGAGCGTGGCTCTTAACTTGAACCGCATTAATAATCACCAGAGGCGGTGGAACGAAGACCCTGAGTACCGGATGAAGAGCTCCCTTGAGGGCAAGACTTATGACGACAACCGGCCAGGGCGTGTTCCACCGTGGGAGGCGCGGAGTCCTCCGGACCAGCCGCCCGCCAGTAACCACATGTTCTGGATCTATGCTGATCCCGCTCTACGCCGTTATTTTGCCTTCCTTAAGTGGTACGACTCCATACTGAGGGTCGAAGAGCGTCTGAACACACCCACGCAGACTTACCTTCAATACCTCTGGCAGATCTTTGACCAAACTGCCCGTCCGTACTCTGTAGGCCCGTTGGAATGTTTCCTTAACTGGCCTGAGGATAGTGCGGATGACAGGCCTGGCCGCGGCTG